CACGCTCCAGGGCGCGCCCAGCCTGGTCTCGGGAAGAGGGGGAGGGCTGGGGGGCATCGGGTAGGTGGCTCGATCTGTGCCAGGTGCAGGGTCTGGTGGCTGGGTGCTGGCAGGCTTGCACCTGGCACGGGCACCGTAGCCAGCCCGTGCCCCTTTAAGGGGTCTGGGGCCGGGAGGGGGGCATACGAGTTTCCCTGGTGTTGGCCAGAGTGGCCACCAGGGAAACCTGGGGAGGGCTAGCCTCCCACTAGCTCGAATTAAGGGGCTACACACCCCTTAATTCGAACTAGCTAGTTCGAACTAGGCTTAGTCCTCGTAAAATGAGGTTTTCCTAGTTCGAACTAAGCGCTCCGCTAGTTCAAATTAAGTTTGAACTAGCGGAGCGCTAGTGTAGCGCCTATCAAAGTTAATTCGAACTAACGTCCGTTAGTTCGAATTAACTTTGTAGTGTAGACATACCCTCGAGTAAGAGTGGGAGGAGATGCTTTCTGAAATTGGTCAAACGGCATAGTTAATGCAGTGGCATTGCTCTGCAGCTCCGTTTGTTATGTGCACCTGCAAAAGCCAATGGATGGATGCCCAAAGAGCAGGTGGCAGAGAGAAAAAGATTCCTCAACACAGCATATCTAAGCCTGGCCTGGAAATTTTTGGGGGCACCTGTTTCTGCTCACAGATAAACCAGTGTAGATCAAAAGAAATGCCTGTGAAGTCAATGCCCTGACACTGCCATAACATAAGTGAGATTAGACAGGGCATTTCATTTCTGACTGGTGGCACAAGCGCAGGGAGCAAAAGGGGGGGACTTTGTCAATTCCCTTCCCCACCACTATCCAGATATAGCATCAGTCCAAGAACTCAAGCTGGAATGAGCAGCACTAGACACAATGCACTGCCTGATGTACCAATTAGCTGATTTGCCAGCTGTTAGTCAGCAACTTAAAAGGTAAAATAGGAAGAACCAAAAACCAATGGAAAAACTCCCATGTGCACTTATAGTCAAATGCTGTGAATGTTTATCATCAGGGACAACACTTGAAACCTTTATATCAAAATCAGTTTAAAAAAGGAGTAGTGTTTTAGGTACTGGAATCTGCCAGGGATGAGCATGAACAACAATTGTAAACAGCCAGATACATAATAAAGCTTTAACCAAAGAGTTACACTACAAGGACCTGATCCAAAGCACCATTCAGTCAATAGAAGTCCTCTCACTAATTCCAATGAGTTTTGATCCCCAGTTCTCAGTTCAAGGATCCTCTGTGGAAGAGTCTGCTAGTCACACAACCTTCACACACTCCACTTGAAAGACACTAGGTGACATATAAATGCTCTGCTCTTATCTGAGACTATGTCTACACTACAGGCTTCTTGCACAAGAAGCTTTTTGCCAAAGAGATCTTCCGCAAAAACTTCTTGCACGAGAGCGCATCTACACTGCAAAAGCACATCAAAAAAGCGATGCCCTGTTGCACAAGAGAGCATCCAGACTGCATGGATGCTCTCTCAAAAAGAAACTCTGATTGCTATTTACAGAATGGCCACCAGGGCATCTGTGCTTTTTTCGATTGTCTCTTTTTGCGCAAAAAAACCCTGTTCCCCGTCCACACACACCTTTTTGTGCAAGAGCTCTTGTGCAAAAAGGAGTTATTCCTCATAGAAGGAGGAATACCTACACTAGAAAAATTCCTCTGTTCTTTCATTTTACTTGCGTAAAAATGCGCTTCAGGTGTGGACGCTCCACGTGTTTTTGCGCAAAAACTCTGTAGTATAGACCTATCCTAAAGGATAGAAGGTATGTGCTTGCCTTTCACTAAAAAATGATAAAAGAAAGAATAGTTGGACTCTGAAATGTCTTGTCAGGGGACACCATATTGTGTGTCGTATATTGAAGGGTTTTTTTTCCCAGTGTTAAAGAATTCTGGGTGCTGAAATATTGCACGACTATAAACAGAAATAGTGAGTTGGGTCTCCTGGGAGCAGCAAAACAAAATAAGACTAAGGTATCCAGTCAGTGGTGTTTTGTACTTTGTTCATCCCCAAATGATTCCTTCTTGTAATATACCAGTTTCTGCTGATTTATCTCTGTGAAGATATTATTGCAGAGTACACACACACTCTTTAGATGGCAAGACTAACCAGGGGGAGCACAAACTCTGAACAGAAACCAAGGTTCATGTCAGAGCACAATTTCAATGTGGAGGAATTGTGAAGAAAGAAAGGGGGAGGAAGACATACAAGTCAACATTTACTAAACATTGTATGTACCTAGACTGAGGATGGGGCTATTTAACGGTGTGAAAAACATGACATTTTTATGACAATGGTCAATATTGTTGGGGAGAAATTGTTTTAACTTGAACGTATTATGAAAGCTGTTTGCTTTCCACCCACACCCTTAAAAAGAGAAACCAATGATTTTTATTTTATTTTAAGATTTGCCTATGCTGTGTTTTCATTTTAGGGGCTTCACTATGACATATCCTCAGCACATAAAGTAAGAAGAAAATATTTTTAGATGAGGGAACTTGCTTGTATTTTATTATTGATGCTTTTATTCAAAAATATAAATAGAATAATCATTAAAACACATTATACATCACAATTTACCAGATTCTGGTACTCTTAGTTATCCAATACAGAATCACAGTGCATTTTCTCTTGATGCTAAGCTGCCATGCCTGGGGACCTGTAGGGTCAGGGTGAAAACAGGCTGGAAAGAGCTTCTTTCCTGCCACTGCAGAGCTTAGCTGAGGGGTGAAGAAACGTCCCTATGCCAGCCAATATATGGGGCTTTGACATATGCCGGTCATGGCTTCTCCTGGCTAGTGCCTTGAGCCAGAGGGTCTTGAGCATTCCTTGGATGCCAGCTAAGCCAGAGGAGGTGGGGGAAGGAAGGAGCCTGCCAGTCAGGATGTTAGCGAGTTGAATGACCTGACTAGGGGCTGGCTGTCTGCACAGCACCAAGAGCAGAGTACACCCTGACGGGGGGGGATATGAAGGAGCATCAAGGCTGGGGAGGTGAACAGGCACAGCAGGGAAAGGACAACGAGCGCAGAAGCACGTAAAGGGCCGATGGGTGAGCAGCACAAGTGACGCAACTGGCCACCGCCTGACTATATTCACCAGACACCCCCGCAAGCAGTCAGTGTGGGCTGGAAACAGAAAATGGGAATTTGAGGGGGAACTTACGGCCAAGAGCTGGCAGGTAGCAGGGACTGCACTGATGGACCAGCAGGGGGAGCGGTCGACCCATAGGCTGCAGCTTTGCCTGACCACCAGCCTTGCACACTCACGTCCATCATCAGCCACTAGACACTCCCACCCACCGCCACCACCACTGCTGGTGGGTGTGCAGCTGGCAAACAAAGATCCAGCTAGCAGTAGGGCCCAC